TGTGTGTGTGTGTGTGTGCAAGCGTGTCAGAGGATAAGACAAGATGTGATAAGATGATACTATAATGTTGTCCACTGGGAAATGACATGATATAATCTGTGAGTCCAGACATGAGACAGACGGACACAGCAGAGTAAAATCGAATTTGAAAGCAGTTTCAAAACGGCATTAGTGCTAAAGCAGCCAGTATAAAAAGTAAACTCTTTAAAAATAGGGATATGAAAGAAGATAGAAGACCCTGACAATTGTTACTGTGCTACAAAGTAAAGTGTACATCAAGGCCTCAAGTTGACCATGGAAACAAAATCTGGCCCCCAGATTTCTTTTTAAAAAGCCCCATCTGGTCACTTGCTGCTTAACTGACTTGTCAATCATAATCTGAAAATTATTTGACCAAACAACAAAATGAAACATGTTGATCTCGCCGACGCTGTCGTTACCGCTGCCAATCAGGCAGGATTTACGCTACACAGTGGACCGTGGTCAACTGTGAAGACTCTACATTTAAAGTTTCTGAGGGAAAACACAAGCAAATTATAACATTAAATGTTTTTTGGGTTTTTTTAAAGGGGGGGAACACACTTAAGCTCAGAAACTAGACCTGGACGAAGTCTGTACAAGTACGATTCTACAATCTAGTGATAGTATCTTTGTCAAGAACTCGACCTAGATCTAGATCTCTAGATTCTAACCAATTCTTGAAAATAATGATGATCACGTACATCCACATATTGGCATCATGCATACTGTCACTGTGCTTTGTTGTCCATTTCAACAGAACAATCCAGACACAGCGGTAAAGTAAAACGAATTATAAACCCCAATTTTTGTTTTCCATTATTTGAGCAATCTCTCTAAAACAAAAAAAATAATATATAACGACTGCAATTTATAATAGCCCTATAATCTGGCAGTACCAGAGACTTCAGGTTACAAGTAGACTCTACTGTAGACTAGAGCCCCTGGCCTAAATTTATTATTGTTGGTACCTGTATCTGTGTACACTGGGCCTGGGCTTTATATATAACAGGACTGACCTAATGTCCCTGAAAATGTATACAGTCGAACCCTGCTATAGACAGGGATCACAATTACATACACGCTGTAACTAATGATTACCAAACGGGATCATTTCTTTTATTACACAGATAAGCCACACTACCAATTTATCAGAGTTCTATTTCTCCTTTCTTTGCCACTGATATTATTTGCTGCTCATCTTATCTTTCTTTTTCTAATGGTACCTCCTCAGTCTCATAGAGGTCGACTTGACATCATCTGATCTACATGACAGAATGCATTGGCCTACTCTAATGAAAATAATTTCATTTAAGAAGAAGAAGAAGACACACTAGGCTATACTTTAGAGCTGGCTCTATGCAAGCGCTTTACAGCCAAGTAATCAAATAGTTTCCATAGTTGAGAAAAGGAACATGACGATAAGTCTGCAGTAGATCAAATGACCAGTGCCCATTTTTCATTTAATCATGTTCCCATCTCAAGTCTCGCCGCCCCACTGGGAGACAATGTGATGATGTTGTGCCAGACTGAGGTCAAGCTAAAGACAGTTGAGTCATTGATTGGAAAATCTGGATGAGTGACAAAGTAAAGTGTATCAAGCTTTCCCCTTCCATTACAAGGTGTGACACATTTATAATACAACTTAGATTAGATCCTAGAATGTCTAGATCTATTACCGTAGATCTCTTGTGGGTTATTTTGATACAATTCACCATGGATGTTGGTTTGCCTCACTTGCTTTTTCTGAACTCTGCTTTTATTGCTTAGCCTACTTTAAGATTTTGTCAATGGTTGGGTCATTGTTACCCTGTAAGTTAAAGCCAAGCATGCCTATTCTGAATGATTACTGATACAAACTCTTTTACTACTTTTATAGTAGCCATTTCATTATAAAAGATCGGGTTTGGGGATTCATTATTTTTATAAAGCTTGCTACAGCCAAAATCCTGTTAAAAATACTATGGTATTAATCTAGGCCTACGTTATGAAGTGAGACCGTTATAATGTAAATTATTATAAAAGTGCCACTTCTTGTAGATTCTACTTGTTGTGTAGGCCTATTATTATCAAGAAAAAAACATGTAATAGTTCTCCATAGATCTATAGATCTATATATAGATATATAGATCTATATAATATATATTT